TTTAGAAGATCTGATGCTCTCTTTTGACTTTGGAGGGACCTACATGCATGTGATATGTGTGAACTCATGCAAGCATACACACATGCACATAAAAAAAAAAAAACATTAGTTCAATTAAAAATGAGTCTATGACTTGAAATAGTTCAACATTTTTTTTTCATTTTTTCTCTTATGTGTAACAGGTTTTGGCTATGTTACACATTTTACTCTATTCTGATATGACAAGAAAAAAATCAAAGCACTGTTTTTTACTCTAAAACTTGGTTTTGATTTTGAAAAGAATGCAAAACATGCTTTAGAATCCTAAAAACTCTCTGGAACTCATATTTAAGGAACAAGAAAGGTTTTAGGCTACAGCACTGAATGTGAGTTGCTTCAGAGAAACTACAGATGGGTTCTGCTTCATGGAGCTATGTCTCCAATCCCATGGATGCCAGAAGGCATCCGTTTTGTTAAGGCCTCTTTTGAGGACTTCTCCTCTGTCTCCTTCCATTTTGTCTTCTTCCCTGGGAATGGAACCCAGGCCCTGCACATGACAGGCAAGTTCTGACCTTTGGCTAAATGTCACTGAGTACAGAATAGGAAAAAACAGAGACCCAGAGTCCTGAAGATGAGGGCTGTGGAAGATGAAGAGTGTGAAAGATGAAGGGTGTGGAAGATGAGGACCATGGAAGATGAAAGGTTTATGAGATGAAGGCTGTGGTTTTCTGTTCTGATCCAGGAAGCTGTATGACCTTGAGCAGGCTGTTCATCTTAGCGGTTCTATGCCAGTGTTTACAAAATGAAAGAGTTGGATCAGATGATAATCCTCTACTTATAATTTATGCCCTACATGATCCTGAAATTCTAGAGAAAGGCACAGAGAGATAATTGAAGTCTTGTATAGAGAGCTATACTTAGACAAAGATCTAGAAGTAACTTATCTCCATAGCATATACATATATTCATACATATATACAAATATCTATGTGAAATTAGCTTTGATCTTTCTAACAACAGAAATATTCAGAACTTTTATTATCTAACCAAAAGAAAAGTAGCATATTCTTTGAAAACTGCTTGGTCTTTACTCCTTTATGTATTTATTTAGTTACAGAAACAGCAGTAAAAAGTTGCTTATTCTTTAGAATTCTCTCCTAATCCCACTCCTTCAATGGATCTGAATCATCATTGTTGAAAGGCAATGGCTGATTTACATTTTTGCTTTTATTCAACTTTTTTTTTTTTAACTCAATAGCCTGTGCTCTCTATTCGCATACTATTGCTCTAGCTTTTGGGATGATATTTTTCATGTCTTTACAGTACCGGCTAGGCATCTTTCTTAGGTGAGATCTTCATTAGGTAAATTCACAAAATGAGGAGATTTGGCCAACAGTGGCCACATCACGTTTTTTTTGTTGTTTATTTGTTTTGTTTTGTTTTGTTTTAAAACCCAGAGTATTTACCTCCTTACAACATTGTGCTGTATCTACTCAAGCATTAAAAGTTGAGATAAATTTATTAAGATATCTCATGGACTGATGATCTTTCCAGGTCCAAGTGGCTCTCAGTAGAAGCATTGCCAGGCAGAATTTGCACTCCAGAAGCATAGGGTCATTTGATTTAGGACTTGTTCCTGGTATTGATTTATGTGCTGTTAGTATTTTAGTGTATATAGCAACGAAGAGAGGACACTTTCTATTGACTTGGAAGTTGCCAGGGATGAGGGCTCAGGGATCAAATGGGATGTTTAGATAGATGCCTGGCCTCCTCTACCTTGAATGGGGAAGTTGTTGAAGAATTTTATTCCCTCTCCTTGGAGATGTCCTCAGGGTGGTTGCTGAGCATTTTCGTTCCATGGGGAAGGTTGGTACTGCTTCCATGGTTTATGGCTTTAAGAATGCAAATAGAGCTGAGAGTTTCCTCAGTTCCTGGATCTCAGACAGTTCCATCTCGGAGTGCTGCCTTCCCCAAGTGTTTCCAGAGAAGACAGCCTGAGGGAGAGGAAGTGGCGCTAATTAAATCCTCCCTCTGTTTTCCAGGCACAGGAGCCTCAAGCAGATGTCTGTTGTTAGTGTGTTCACAGAGTGCGCAAATACAGAAGCAGGCTTCCCTTCCCAGTGACACAAACCTTCCTCCATTGGAACTTTGGAAATGCATTTCCTTCCAACACCCACTGTAAAGGAGGTGGCCAGACTGCATACATAGATTACAGAACTGCTACCAAGCCAACGTGCACTTGTCTTTCTCTGTCTCCATCTCTCCTCTCTCTGTCTCTGTCTGTATGTCTCTGTCTCCCTGTCTCTCGGTCTCTCCGTCTCTCGCTATCTCTCTGTGTATGTCTTTTTGTGTCTCTCCTTTCTCTCTCTGCTTCCTTTTAGCATTATAGTGAGCAAGCTGGACTCAAAAGCATGCCCATAAGTACTGACAAGTATGCCTCCATATTCTGTCTCCTTGTAGGAATGTGTATAGAGTCATCAAGACTGCCAGGGTTGTATCAGCTAAGAGAAAATGGAATGGGAGCTGCATAAGGCAATCCATTAGTTTAACCAACTGTATTTTCTACTGAGTTCAACCCCCTCAAAGTGACATCCACAGTTGCCAGAGATGATTCTGTTTACTCCTACCATCCCGGCATAATTGCTAATAGCATCATCAGATGCCACACGACAAAGATTGAGGCAGTGCATTTGTGTTACTTCGAGTGGAGAAATGAGAACAAAGTCAACCTACCTCCAATAGACACCAATAGCTGTCCAAAGAAATCAATCCATCCAAGTCTACTACCTCAGTGGGGTGTACTGGAGTGGCTTACAATAGCATAGGTGAGGTTTTATTTTTAGTTTTAGTTTTAGTTTTTTAACTTAAGGAGCAGATTTGACTCAAAGGCAGCTGCATCATCCAAGTCCACCCTAGGATGAAAGCCTGTCTGTCCCTGGAGCTCTCTCTCTCTCTCTCTCTCTCTCTCTGCACAACTTGCACATTGCTTGGCTGGCTGGAGAGTCTCCTCCCCTAGCCGTCCTTACTGCTCACACAACCTTGGCTAGTGACTCCTGTAACTTTCTGAGCTTGCTCAGCCGTGGAAGCCATGTGAGCATGTGAGCTTCTCTCCTCCCTCCCACAGACAATGTTTCAATTAGGAGGAAGGGGCTCTCCACAACACTGTGTGATGGCGCTATTTTTTACCGCTCTTGTACGTTCTAGTTTGTCTCCATTTTAAGGGTGAAAATATGCTGGCAAACTAGGCTTCTCCCCACTTTCTGGCATTTCACAGGAGCTGAGGAAATAGAATTAAAGCTGCCTTTTAGCTGATTAAGAACACAGAGGTATCTCTGAGAATAAGACGTCATGCCTAATGGTGAGCCTAGGCATGAAGCCTGCTTTCAGGACACATTAGTAGCTGGCCTCCAGTAGGAATGATTGCATGACTGGAAAAAGTACCTAGGTGCAGGCAATATTCTTCTGTGGCTTTCTCATTGTGCTAAAAAACAGAGCATTAGATCAGGTAGACATTTTTTCCTGGGCCTGCATGATCCTTCTATTTTGTCCTTAAAAACAAAACAAAACAAAATACTTTACAAATAGAAATAAATTTCTTGTTTTTATTTAAGTGCTAAATTTAAATAATTTAATTAAGCACAGGAACCGAAAATGAGAGAGGTACCCACAACATCATCATGAGGAGAGAACTACTTTTAACATTTAATTTTTTTCAGTTTCAAATGCCACTCGCATATGTATACACATACAAAAATACGTGTGCAATATTTTCTTCCTTTTTCTATGAATGATCTTAAGACAATTGAACAATATAATTTAGGTATAACTTTCTTTTTCCATAAAAGTATCGGGTACATCTTTCTATGATAAAGCATATAATCGTATTTCAGCAGCTGCACTGTATTTGCTTCTAAGGCAAAAATTTCATCTGTCCAGTTCTTTTCTAGTGAAGAATACTTGCTTTGTTTAAATTATTTGAATATTAAGTGTAGGGTTGTGTGAATGTTTAGTGTTGCTATTTATTGCATACAGTATTTCTCTACTAGACATAATAGTGTGATGAAAGAAATTGTGTACATGTAATACAATGTTATTGAATATGTGTGTGTGTCTTTGGACACTTTCCTAAACTGTTTCTTTAAAATGCTAGAATGGGAACATTTGATCTGAAAATATGCCAGTTCCAGGTGGTTTATGTCTTGTCTTCGTCACTGATCTCTTGCTGTGGAGAGACAGCAGGGCCATGGCAGCTTTTAGAAAAGGGAGCACTTAAGTGCACCTTGCTTACAGTCTCAGAGGTTCAGTCTGTTCTCACTATGGTGGCTAGTATGGAGCACATAGGCACACACGGTGCTGGATGAGTAGGTAAGATTTCTACATCAGATATACAGACATCAGGAGGAGAGGGCCCTGGCTTGGACTTTTGAAGCCTCAAAGCTCACCCCATACAATGTTCCTCCAATAAGGCCACACCTACTCCAACAAGGCCACACCTCCTAATCCTTCTCAGGTAGCTCCACTCCATGGAGACCAAACATTCAAATATAGAAGCCTATTGGAGCCATTCTTATTCACATCACACATGTCCTCAAACCAATCCCTGGAGCTGATTAGGTGATGCATTGTCATTGCTTTTCACTCTTAAATACAAACCACCCCGAATAGAGTTTTAAACAGAAAATGCCAGGAAATCACAAAGAGGAATTACTTGGCAGTAATTTCAGGCTACAAACCCCTTGTTCTGTTTATGTATTGGTATTAAAGTTGAGGGTGACCCACAGGCTCCTTCTCCATCCCCATAGTTTCTCCTTCTCTTCTGCGGTGAAGGCCCTACACAGTGGTGGCATTTAAATGTCTGTGCTCATACACGGTCCACTGGTGCCTCTGTTTGATCAAAGTGTGACTGCTTCCCTTTAAGGAGATCTTCTGTTCTTTGTAACCTGCTTTTCCACAACCAGCATACAGGGAGCATGTTTTACCATAAATGAAAAGACTGTTTTATTTTGTTTTAGGCTAAAGAAATGTCAACAATTGGGAGCTTTGAAGGATTCCAGCCCGTGTCTCTGAAGCAGGAGGGAGATGACCAGCCCTCTGAGAATGACCACTTGTCCACGGAGGAGGAGGGGGACTCAGGCAAGGACCCAGGACGAAGACAGATTTCAAGACAGCAGAGTGTGACTAAATCGACGCTTTACCCCAATCCTTATCACCAGCCCTATGTGTCACGGAAGTACTTTGCCACACGGGTAAAACCACGATTTTCAATTCTATTCAAAATTTCTTTTGAAAACTTGCCTCCTTCTCTATACTGCATGCTGCCAAGGGTTACATAATTTACATACCTCTTGTAGTGGTTATTATAATCCTTATGTGGTTGTCTTTATTCCCATTGTGTGGATGAAGGGTGTAAACTTCAGACAAGCCAGACCAGTCTCTATTTTTTCTCTCTCTCTCAGATAGCTATCAAGGAGATACAGTTCCCATAGCTTCTATAAATGTGGGCTTCATTCCTGCAGGGATGCAAAATCTGGACTCAAGGAATTAATGCTTAATGGCTAGAGAACCTGTAACACGGTTGCTAGAAGGTGAACTACAAACTCATTATTTCTTAAGGAAGACATAGGCTGTGGAGCGGAAAGCGCTGCTGAGGGCAGAGCCGAATCTCAGGATGGATGATGAGATTCTGGTGTTACCACATGAGCAAGGGTTTGAAACTGAAACTCCATTTGCTGCCAGTGTGAGGCTCAAGAGTTCTCACCTGAGCAATGGAGCCAGACAAAGAAAATGAACAAGGCATATATACTGAGTGTAAAAGGCTACTGTAATAAGTTTCTAGTATTTGGATCAAGGGGAAAACACTTCGTGGGTTTCTTATTTCTTTGGTGAGTATTTTTAATTCGTGCTTACTGGCCTTTTGCGGTCCTGCAAAGTTCTTATTAACACAGTAGCCATAATGTATTGGAGGAAAAATAGGGGAATGTGAACCATGACAAAAGATAGTTTTCATGCATATATGGGACACCTTTTTGTTGAAAAATAAACTTCTTTCCACAGCCCCCATTTCCCACTCCCCCCCTTTCTTTCATGTCTGAGAGTAACCAAGGCAGAAGACAGCTCTTGGAAGTTGATTCTGAGCTTCTAGTTTGTTGAGCCAGGGTCTTTTGTGTGGGGTTCGTCTCTACTCTGCTGGGTACGTACTCCAGGCTAGCTAGCTTGAAAGCTTCCGGCCATTTCTCCCATTTCCACTTCCCACTTCCCAACAGGAGTGCTGGAGTCACATATGTGGTCCACAGGACTGAGGCTTTTGTGTGGTTTCTGGAGATCACACTCAGGTTCTCTGATTTGAGTAACACTTTTATTGGATTGGGGCCATCTCTCTGGCCCTTCAAAAATATATTTTTCAGCTCAATATCTTAAACACATGGAGGTCAAGGATTTGAGACTATTTACAAGGCTAAATGATCCTTATTTGGTAGCTTTAAATATATGCCTTTGTTTAAGATAAAGCTCTCATGAAAGCAACTGAATGTGTGAGTGCATATGTATGTGTGTGTATTTAAACATTATGTAGACTCCTATGTGGAAGGCACTCTGGTAGGTGCTATGCTATCTGTGTTTGTGCAAGTGTTTTTTGCATATGTCAAGCATATGGTCTGTTTTCCAAAAGATGTGAACTTTATTGAATATGCAAAGTTAAGTTGAGATGGAACTGCAAAGGAAATGTAAGCAGCCTTTGGAGTCTTATGATCTAGATATGGATGATGCCAGGGTTTGATGAGAAGGTACAGAGCAGAATAAGGGCTTCATGGTTGTAGCTGGGGCAGCTGTGAAAGCAGACTGAAAAGACCATGAAAAGTTCTGTACTTTGCTTGTGATGGTAGTAGTTCTGAAGTTGGCACAGGTAGATTTGTTGGCTCTCACTGTAGGAACTGGGACTATATTCATGGTAAAACTGAAATTCTTCTTGACAAAGAAGAGGACACGGGGACCAACTGACCTCTAACGCAAACTTTAATCTTAATGGCAAGTCACTTTTAGAAGCTGTGCCTTTGCCTATGAACCAGGGATAAGAGAATTTTAAGGATGAGGTCAGACTGTATTGAAAGGAGATATTGGTATTCAGGCTGCTGCTTGCCAGAAAATGAGCCAGGGCAGTAATTTCCTTGACTGTGCTGTAAAACTTGAATTGATCTTCAGCAAGTAAAACAATTGATTTCATGTCTGCCTTTTGAAATTAATATGACTGTCTAACTCCATTTGGAAACATACAGGGAAAGCAAGGCTAGACCATGTAGCTCTTTAGATGAACTGACAGAGTCCCAAAGTTACTACATGTGTCATTAGATATTCCTTTAAAAAATGGTGGCCTTATACTACACTGTGAGCCAGTTGGGAGTAAGAGATAGATGAAGTTAAAAAGCACTTATTGCTCTTGCAGAAGATCCACTTTTGGTACCCAGCATCCACTTGGTGTCTCACAACACACTATAACTCCAGTTCCAGGGGGTCCAACACTTTTCTGACTCCCACAGACAGCAGGCACTCACACGGTGTGCTCACACACATGTAGACAAAATACTTACATATGTAAGATAAAAATAACACTTTTTCAAAAAGAGTGAATAAGCCTTTCTGAATGAGGGTTCAGCATCTTACTCGGGGTCCTCTTTCTTGCTTAGCTTCTTTAGGTATACAGATTTTAGTATGATTATCCTATATTATATGTCTAATATCAACTCAGAAGTGAGTATATACTCTGTGTGTCTTTCTGCTTCTGAGTCACCTCACTCAGGATGATCTTTTCTAGTTCCCACCATTTGCCTGCAAATTTCATGATTTCTTGTTTTTAATTGCTGAGTAGTATTTCGTTGTGTAAATGTACCACAATTTCTGTATCCATTCCTCAGCTGAGGGACATCTGGGTTGTTTCCAGATTCAGGCAAATGGGATAGACATCAGAAGAGGGAGAAAACAGGGAACAGGACAGAAGCCTACCACAGAGGGCCTCTGAAAGACACTACCCAGTAGGGTATCAAAGCAGATGCTGAGACTCATAGCCAAACTTTGGGCAGAGTGCAGGGAATTTTATGAAAGAAGCAGGGTGGGGGGATAGAAAGGCCTGGAGGGGATAGGAGCTCCACAAGGAGAGCAACAAAACCAAAAAATCTGGGCATGGGGTTCTTTTCTGAGACTGATACTCCAACCTAGGACCATGCATGGAGAGAACCTAGAACCCCTGCACAGATGCAGCCCATGGCAGTCTCCAAGTAGGCACCCTAGTAAGGAGAACAGGGGCTGTTTTTGACATGAACTCAGTGGTTGAATCTTTGATAACCTCCCCCATGAAGCGAGGGAGACAACCTTACCAGGCCACAGAGGAAGACAATACAACCAGTCCTGATGAGCCCTTATAGGTTAGGGTCAGATGAAAGGGGAGGAGGACCTCTCCTATCTGTGGACTGGGGGAGGGGTGAGAAGAAGCGGAGGGAAGGGATGAAGGAGAGGTTACAGCTGGGATACAAAGTGAATAAATTATAATAAGTAAAAAAAAAAAGGAGTGAATCTTCAGGTAAGTGAAATGATCCAAGTCACACAGTAGTGCAAGAGCTTCAGCTAGGTGCTTAGAGTCCACTGCTCTTCTTAGATGAAAGTTACAATTTACAGAAACCTTTATATGATGGTATCCTCTTCATCAGTCCTAGAAAGCAAACCGGAATTCTCAAGAGCTTCTGAGGACAACTGTCTTATGTCGGAGTAAGTCCAACACGTGAGCCTGAGGATGCTTTGTGGGCTGCGAGGTTGAGCTTTCAAGGGCACCCAGCTCCCCTTCAGACTAGAGCGTTGTGTCACTACAGTGAATATGCACTAACAAGCGGGGGGACAATGAAAACACAGTTGTGATGAAGCCATCCGTTGGCATTTAAATTTTTAAATTTATTCTTTTGTAATTTTATACATAAATACGATGAGTTTAGATTTTATCAGTCCTCTAACTTTCCCCTCCAAGATTCCTAAGCACCTGCAACAAAGTTTCATCTCCTTTTCCTCCTTTTCTCCTTCTCCTCCTTCATTTTCATCTACTTCTACAATCTGCTGAGTCTACTTAATGCTGCCCATATAGACGTGGTGTAGAATACCACCCAACGGAGCATTGGCACCTTACCATGGACCACATTGCTGAAAAAGACTGACTTTTTCTCTTCTAGCAGCCCTCAATGGCTAATAGCTACTCAGCTATGGATGGGGCTTTAAGGTGCTCCTTCTCTTTCCATGCTGGAGTGTGCACGTCTTGTTCAGGCAACCACAGCTGCTGTGATTCATTAGTGCCATGGCCTTGACATGTCCCAAAGACACTACTTTGAAATGCTCATCTTGATTTTATGATTGTTTTTTTTTTTATCTTGACTCATCCTCTTTTGCAATGTTTATTGAACTTTGTATATTAGGACAATTTGCTGTCCACGCCCCATTTACTATTTTCTGTATTAACTGCCAACCACCACATTAAAACATCCCTCTGATGATAGGTGAAGTTGTATTACACTATGAGTACAAAGATTAATATTTAGAAGATAGTTTGGTTTAGCAAAGTCATATTCATAGGGCTTTTAACCTACCCACTCGTGAGTTCTTTGCCGTGTTTATGGGCATCAGTTTCCTCCTGTTGAGCAGGTCTTAAATTCAACTGAGAAGATGTTGGTTATCCCGATAACATTCCACTGTTGCCCCCACTGTATAATTCAGTCATTATTGGAGCTGACAGGGTTCACAGCTGTGTTAGACTATTGATGGACTGTCTTCTCTATCAATCTACAAAGCACCTTCTAGCTCTGTGAAAGCTACCCAACAGGGAAGAAGTTTCAGGGTCAGTAATAGCTTGGTTTCTCCATGGCCTGTGACCAAATAAATAGGGTCTTACCATCAAGTTCTTGTGGCAATAAATAGGCTCTTACCATCAAGTTCTTGGGTGGCCAAGAGTAGTAAAAATAAACTGTGTTGTTTTATGGGTCTCTGGGAAACCCCTAACCGAAATTTCAGCAAGAAGTATCCCACATGTAGAACAAGGATTTTTGTCTGATTACCTAAATATATTCTGGTATGAACATTATCCCAAGAAACATTTTTTAAATACATGAAAAAATGATCTAGTTTTATTAGCTTGCAAATCAAATCCAAGGTGTTGTGATTGTTAAGAAGATAGAAGTATGTTTGTGTGCTTGTGAGTGTGTGAGTCTCAATTTCTTTC